TTTAAAACACAAATTGAAAAAACCCACTTACTTTACTTTATTGAAAATTAACTGTACTTTATTAAAGATTCCCTCATACTCACAAATTACTTCCTTTAAATTAACTTTTACTATGTTAAAGATCTCCTCACAGCCGAAAGTTAAGTTTATAAATTAACTTTAAATTCACTTTTACTTTATTAAAAATCTCTTCACACCTAAATGATAAACCTAATTTTCTTTATTACTATTTTATTAAAGAAAGTTAACATTTATATTTTTTCGGTTGGTCTTGAGAATCACGTTATACTCGTCAATAATATAATGAACCAATTAAATAAGTTATTTTTTTTTATCAAATTTACAAAAAGTCATATTCGAATCATTGCTCGGGAAAGGGAGAATACACTTATACGTGAGCTGAAGCCGCTAGATTGAAAGGTCCAAGTGCAATTAAATAAGTTAATTAGATAAGTTAAATAAATAATTTTAAATCTTTATATTTATTTTTTAATTTAATATTAATAAATATATTATTTTATATCTATTTTTTAATTTTTTTTATAATTTAAGTATGATATTTACTATTTTACTTAGACAGATAAAATACTTCTAAATGAAAAAAAAAAAAGAAGAAGAAGAAGGTGCATTCATACCTACCATTGAACCTAATAAAGTGCATGGCCACTGGTCCAATCCTTTTCCCAACACAAAATGCGTAAATTAAATTTAAATTTTTGGTATGTTTATTATATTTTTATAAAAAAATTTATAAAGTTTTAATATTAAAAATGTTAATATATTTAATTATAATTATTATGCATATAAAGTATAATATAAGTTTTAATTTTATTAAAATTATTATATAATTATAATTAAATATTTAATATTTTTAATATTAAAATATTTTAATTATTAATATATATAATAAAAATAAAAATAAATATTTACTTAAATTAATACATAAAATATGTATTTAATATGTTTAAGACCCCTCGGTTTGGATCTAAAGATGTTGATTAAACAAATCCCCAATTAAATTTACTGAGAAGTTGAAAACAGCTGTGACACTCAAATTCAAATTAAACTATTGGTGTAGTCAAGTAGGGTTGGATCCGTTTGGGCCTTGAGAATCTCAATCACGTTATACGCGTGAAGTATGTAATGGGCCCCACAGCCCATCTGCAACATCGATGAAGTTATAATTATTCAAAATTTGGAGGGTAAGTGTGAAATGGCCAACATTCGTAGACACAATCATTCTAAAGTTTAAAATAATTTGGGAGGTGGTATCATTAATTATTCATTTTTCCTGCAATTCATTAAAATCAACCAGAAATCCTCTCCTTTAGATTTTTGTAACTACAAAGGGTATATGATTTCTAGAGTTTTTTTTTTTTTTTTCTAAAAAGAGGGAAATATAGATTCTGACCGTTTTTTATATGGCCTAAATCTGACCATCAGTTTTAGTTTTTGTTTGTGATATAAAATTTAAGTACTAGTGGAAAGGAAAATTAGTTCAACATTAAAATTGATTCGTTTGTTTGCGCAGATGGACAATGAAGAATGAACCCACCCGAGACCCAACTGAACTGAACTGACCCAGGTAAAGGAGTTGCGGTTTAAAAGACATCTAAAAAGAAAAAAAAAAAATCCCTTGGTGGGTAGGAGTGGTAATTACTGGACGAGGTCTTTGGGCTTGAGGCCTTTATCAATCATTTCATTGAGTCAGGCCCATAACCAGCGGACCGCTGAAATTGGGGGAAGCCCAGAGTAAGTTTAGTTTTGGTTAGGCTCGTTGCTGAATAATCAGTCCAGTGGCCACTGGTCAGTCCTTTTCCCAACACAAAACGCGTAAATTAAAAATGTATTGATAAGTTTGTAGTGGCCCCACAGCTCACCTGCAACATCAATAAAGTGGTAATTGTTCAAATTTGGGAGGTAAGTGAAAATGGCTGACTTTCATAGACACGAACATTCTAAACCTTAAAATAATTTGAGGGTCTCGTTATCCATTTTTCCTGCAGCTCATTACAATCAACCAGAAATCCTCTCATTTTGCTGCTGCCATCTACTTGTCTAGTTTGATTCAGAGGAAGTCATGGATAGGATCGATCATTTCAGCCATCCACATCCTTTGGTGCTTGTGGAACAAGAGCCGGATGATCATGGAAGTCGAAAAGGTTTTTGTTCTGGGTGCAACCAAGCAGTAAAGGATTATTGTTATCAGTGCCGGAAAGTAGCAGAGGGTTTTTGTTCTGGATGCGAGGAAGAATTAGAGGGTTCCAGCTACGGTTGTGGTGAGTGTGGGTTTTTCCTTCATAAGAAATGTGCTGAGCTACAAACGGAGATCATTAATCACCCCCTCCACCCCCAACACCCTCTCACTCTTGATTTGCAAGGTTATGCTCTTGATAGATGTAATGTTTGCAGGGAATGTATTCGATGTTTTTATCAATGCAATTCTTGTTATTTTAACCTTGACCTTAGATGTGCTATGCATCCTCAATTTGTTGCTCAAGAGTTTCAAAAGCTTCAACATTTTAGCCACGATCATCCTTTGATACTTGTTGAAGATATTGAAATTCAAACCACAAGAGAGGTCTGCTCAGGATGTAGGGAACCCATGTCCAAGTCAAGTCCATTCTACTGTTGTCCAAATTGCATATTTCACCTTCACAAGAAATGTGCAGAGTTGCCTCTTAAGGTCAGTCACCCTGCCCACCGGAAACACCCTCTAATGCTTTTGGCCAAACCCCCACCTCATCAAGAGAAATGTTCTTGCAATTTGTGCGGTGAGTCTTATAAGGAAGGATTTGTTTATTATTGTTCAATTTGTGAGTTTGGCTTCAAAGCCGCGGATCCTATTTCGCAAACAATTATAGCTGAAACTCATGAACATCCGTTGACCCTCTGTTCGGGCACAATTTCATTCGTTTGTGAGGCATGTGGAAATGATGGAAGTCGTGTTTGCTTTACATGTGCTAAATGCAGCCTTATTATTCATATAGATTGCACTTCACTTCGCCGCACCATCAAAATAATAAGGCATCCACATCGACTTTCTCACATCTATTTCTCTCAAGATGAGGAAGCTAGAAAACGTGAATGCAATATCTGTCATGATGACATAAATCTGGGATATGGGAGCTACTTCTGTGCAGATTGCAACTATTTTGCTCATGTAAATTGTGCAATAGATAAACGTCTTTTGGAAGATGAAAAGTCCGAACCATCAGATGACTGGACTGCTATCTTTCCTGCTTTTCAGGAAATCAAACCTGGAGAGATAAAGCATTTCAGCCATAAACACAACTTAATATTGAGTGATGATGGGGTTGAGGATGGCCAAAGTTGTGAAGGTTGCATGCGTTCCACCTCTACTTCATTTTACTATTGTGCACAATGTAATTTCTTCCTCTGTAAGTGCTGTGTTCATGAGTTACCCAAGAAGGTGCGTCACTGGACTTGCAGGCATTTGAGAGAACTTTATTTCTATTCCATTTTTTTTTGTGGCCATTGCCGGTTTTGGAGTAGTGGGTTTGGCTACAATTGTAATGCATGCGAGGAGATTATGTGCATCCGATGTCATGAAATTCTCGACACTCGTATTGCAAATATAGAAGGACAGGAGCACTTCCTTTTCTTTGACCACAAATACGAAGGGAAATGTTATGGTTGTGATAATTATTGTAATCGACGCGGTTTTAGAAGCAAGGACAAGAAATGCAATTTTGCATTGGATTATAGATGCCTTGTGCTACCAAAAACAGCTCGGTACAAATATGACGATCATGCTCTCAAGCTTACTTATCATGATGATCATGATCTAAGTCAATGTTATTGTGACATATGTGAAGAAGACAGAGATCCGAAGCAGTGGTTTTATCATTGTGCCGATTGCGATGTTTCTGCTCATCCTAATTGTTTGCTTTGGGGATCCCCATTTGTCAAGCTCATGAAACCACTCCGGGTTGAAGTTCACGAACACCCTGTCACTTTGGTGAAGATAGATTTTTATCCTTCTAAATGCAACAAGTGTGGTAAGCCTTGTAGAGATGATCTAGCCATTCAATGCACAGAGCCAGATTGCACCTACATATTCCATTGGGATTGCTACTTGATAGGTAGATATATTAGGAATTGGAATCTCCTAGATACAGACTAAAGCGCTAAGATGGTATTGTTCTTATGATATTAATTATGTCTCTTATGAAGGTAGACAAAAATGAGATATCTTATTTGCACTTCCTTTTGTTTTCGACTGATTTTTAAGTTTAGTTTGATCTTCTAGCTATTAGGTGATGTGATGCGGACTATTTATAACTTTTTTGTTTCTACCAAATATGTGATATGACTATTGTTTGAAATTTGGATGTATTGCTTTAAATGGTTGCTTTTTTTTTTTTTTTTTTATCAATAATTCGGTTATCTCTGTACTTCAAATACCAGAAAAAAATTTCTTTCTTCTTTTCTTCTCTGATTTTGACGTTTATTTATTTCAACGTGCCCTATGTATACATAGAGGATATATATTTTAGTAACATGATACTCTATCTTGTTTCTAAACTGATGTTAGCAGTTTTTATTTTGCAAAATCATATCAATTTTGACCAAATTAACAATAAAGGCATTCCTTGCGGAGACTTTTAAAGTGAAAACCTTATAATTTTTTGGAAACTTCTAAAGCGAAAACCTTATAGTTTTTTTATTTTTTTGGTAAAGTCTTATAATTAGTTCCTATTCTTCTTTACACTATTTTTGAAGGTTTGAATTCAAAACCTCTATTGACTCTAGTCAGTTCTTTTTTTTTTTTTGGGTACTTCTAAATGAGTTATACAATAAGGATAATCTTTCATTTTCCCTAAATCCATCTCCACCTAACCTAAGGTTCGAACTTGAAATGTCAAGTTCTTAACCATTGAGCGACCCCTTTCGGGATGACTCTAGTCAGTTCTTTAATCACCATACAAATGCTTTATTGGCTTTCACAGCCTTTATCTATCTTGATAAAGTGATAGAAATTAGAATAACTACTCATAAAATTCATGATTCATGAACATGAGACAAAGAACAAATTTCAGTGATACAAACTGATCATTACATGTCAATATGTCATTATTCCCTCAACCTATCTCAGAAAATTAGAACTAACAACAGGTATCGAAGCAATTACAGTTATATCCATCAGTTAACAAAACAGATAGTTGGAAGATCAAGTGAGCTCCACAGACAAAATTCACCTTCATTGCTTGAAGAAGACCCCGTTTCCACTGAGCTGCTTGGAGAATCCAGGCTCTCCTCCATTTTCTTCCCTATCACTTCACTTCCATTCCCTTCTCCTTTCTTGCCCTCTAGACCTTGAATTGACAGTTCAGCTTTTACTCTTCCACCCTTGACATGGTCTAACCCGAACTTCAGCCTCAAACACTCTGGTATTCCATTGAAAGCATAAAGAGAAGCAGAGAACTTCCTCTTATACTTAATTCTCTTCATGGCAGCTCTTAACATTGAGGGCTTGTCCGAGAAATTCTCTGCCTCCACTGGCTCTTCAATCTCTTCAGCCATCTCAAAGGGAGAGTAGTAACTGGATGATCCAATATGATCCACAAAATGAAAATCAAGTGCTTCCATATCAGGTCCTTTCTCAACAATTCTTCACACCTGGAAGATTGAGCAGCATCACTGAAACTGAAATAATCCAAACCCAAATCTCTCCCACTAGAATCCTCCTTCTTTGTTAAACATGACTTGAGACTCGTTGTCAAGTAATCAGAAGCATTTGCAGTAGTATTACTGATGTAGCAGCCATCAAAGATGCTGTAATCTTCAGGATCATTGAGGAAGTTAGTGAACTGTGTATCAAACAAATCCCCTGATTCTCCATGATGCTGCTCCTCTCCACCTTGAATTTCTTACTTGTTGATCAAGGAAGAATATGGTAAGGGAGCAGAGGTGTTGTCTCTGGCTCCCAGCCTTTGGAGAAGGAGGTTAGTGATCTTAGAAGGAAGAGCTGAGGTAGGATTAGAAGCTGGAGAACATGGCCAGAAGTTGGTCCTGGTGTTGGCACCACGGAGGATGCAGGCTGCCTCACCATAAGCTCCGGTTGCTTTCTCAACAGTGTCATAGGTGCCTAGCCACACTCTTATCTTCTGTATGGTGTCTTTGATCTCAGCCATCCATCTGCCAGATGGCCTTTGCCGAACTCCAACAAATCACTTTTGAGAATTATTTTTCTTCCTTCCTGATAGCTTCAATTGCCACAACTAGATCAATTTCCTGAGTTCTTCCAAACATTTCCTTTTTTCTTCCCTCTTAAATTCCATTTCATGCTACAGATTTGAAGCAGAGACTTCTAGATTTTATTTCATTTCCTCCTTTTGATTTTCTTCTATTTTCCTGTGTTAGGATCATTATATGCTATGTAAATCAAAATAGAAACATCCAATTTTCTCCAGTGAAAAATAGCCATAAAATCCGCATGGAATTGCAAGGTGCAAGATTTGATTCCTACAATATATGCATAATGGGAAAGGAAGCTTACAATGAGTCATTATCAACTCCGTAAAAGATCAAAAACATTGGGTGCATAGCCCTCTCAAAGAACCAGGCAATCAGTTTCCTATTGGCATTGCTTATCAAAGTCAAAGAAATCGGTTTCTACAAAGCATCATCACCAACCAAACATTATCTGCTGGATTATAATTATATGATTTATGCATCAATAATTTTTACTCAAGTCATTTTCAGCACTTTAAGATGATGAAAGATCCTTACATTAGATTATTCTAAAATATTCGTCTTTTGGTCCTAATAGCTTGATGGGTCTTTCATATGCAATTAGCAGAGATAATGACATCTTGTACTGACCCAAATTGTAAAAGGTAGATTTCTCTGCACCAAGCAGTTAAAAAATGAATAGATAAAGTTTATGTAACCATGAAGAAGATTATAATATGTAAGTAGGAAAAAAAAAAAAAAGGGAAGATGATCTTTGGACTGAGTAGAGACAAGCATAGCCTACATTGACCAAGTTAAGCATAGCCTACATTGACCAAGTTAATTACAGGACTGAGTAGACTTTAAATAATCTTCAATTTTACATCTTAAGCTTTTAAGATATATTCTATTGTTACATTGTTTTATTATTAGATTTTAAATAACTTTAGCAAATAAAATAACTTATGGAATTGAAGTTGCATCTAAGTTTTAGATTAGTATCATTTAACAAAATAGTTTAAGTAAATAACTAAATATTGAAAACTAATACAGAGTTGATTTGCTAATAGAAAAAGGAAGATACCACTAATAATAGAGATATTGAATTTGAAGTTGTCTAATGGGCACAAATTTTCCCTATTCTGTTTGTTTTGATGGTTTTTAATGCCATTGGAACTAACTAAACAGAGACATCTGCCAAAAAAAAAAAAAAAAAAGAAAAA